TCTCTGGCTCTGGCTCTGGCCTATTTTGGGCCCCTAATTCATCAGTGTTGGGAGGCAATCAGGAATTGCTTCTAAGTAGTATTTTACTATGTGGCTCTCCATTTTCTAAAGGTAATGGTTTCCATAACCCTAGAAAAAAAGAGTGCTAAATTTAGTGAGTCACATTTTTTTCTATTATAAAGTTTAGAGATTTTTCAAAGACAGTAGATCTTTCCAATCTATTTGTCAGACCACACTAGTGCCCTGTGACTAATACTTGGTGTGTGATTGTACTGGGGAAAAAAGGTTTTCTGTGAAGTTCTGACAGTTGATTTTTCCCTAAAGAAACCATATGCTCACTTATGCATTTTGTGTGGTCTTCTCTTGCCAGTTGATCTTTCTTTTTTAAAGGAATACCAAACCAGGTCACTGGCTTTTCCTTCTCTCCCTCCTTCTCTTATTCCTTACTTTCTTCCTATAATAAATAAGATTTATTAAACACCTACTAAGTGCTACGTACTTAGGAGCATAAATGAATGAGCAAAATTACTTAGATATATGGAATACAAAGATGTAGGGAATAAACTGAGTCTTACTAAAAGATCCATGTAACAAATATTGATCAAGGACAATTCATGATCATCTTGCTTCTAAAGGCCCCTGTTTCATTTTTCTCATAGATTCATCAGGGGCACAGAATCCCAAGAAAACTGAGAAATGTTTAAATGTTACAAAGAATAAGAGTCAGGAAGCATTAATCTAAGACATGATTATCCAACCTGAAAGCAGAAGATTTTAAAATACTTTATCTATTTTACATAAATAAGATCTAACTCTCCTCAATATTTTCAACCTTTTAATTTTTAGATAATTCTAAACTATAAACCACTCTATGGACTTTCAAGTTTCTTTCTATCATTTATATAGTATATAAAATTGTCTCCTTGAAGCAAAATCTTAGGCTTTTAAACAGAATTTTTTAAAATTGTCTCATTCATTCAACAAATATTATTTATTGAGCTCCTCTACCAGAAACTAGGTCGTTATGAAAACACATAGTTCCTGTCCCCAAGGAGTTTTAAAAATCCTCAACATTTAATCTTTTCATAGCTTTTCAAGCATTTACTATATCAGAGCAGAAAGAACAAAGCCTTTAGAAGTAGACAAAGTGAGATTTGAGTCCTGGCTGTAATAAAGGGTAAAGGTAAGCAAGTCATTTATCCCTTCTGAGCACTGATTTCGACCTCTGTAAAATGAGGATAATATCATCTACCCTGAAGTGCTGTTGTAAGTATAATTAAAGTGTCTAGGAGGAGGCTTGACCTAAAGACAATCTATTATATTATTTTTCATTTCTAAACAACCACTGAAAAACTCCAAGCATTTATACTAATAGTGAATATACTATCTTTCAGAAATGCTATCTGAACTATATTATATATGCAGATAGGCATGTAAGAAGTGCAAAAATTTAATCTGATGCTATACACTTCATATCATCTTATAAATATCCAATGTATTTCCAATTAACAAAGAGAAAAGTCAAAATCCATTTTGAAAGAATAACATTAAATAAGTCATATGCACAACATATTAAAGATCCTCCCAAATAAGTATGCTGTTTCTTCTCAAGCATACATGGCTTAGCGCTGTTAAGGGCTTCCACCGACCTAGCTTAGGTTAATCAAGAAATTACTTCGTAAGCCTGGAGTTCCTAGATGTTAACCTCAGAGGCTCAGCGGCTGCCCTAAAGGGTAGTTCTAAGAACTGAGACTCCCCTTTCTGAAAAAGAACAGCATCCATGAAAGCTTTTAGAGCAATAGATTCTGACTTGTTACAAAGATACCTAAGAAAAGACCAAATCATCTTTTGAACCAAGCATAACCCTCCCACAAAACTTTCCTGTAATAAAAATATTTTAATGCTCTGAAGGAATTAACATGCCTATCAAAGTGCTAAATTAGAAGGTGACTTTTGTGGTAAGAAGGGACCTTAAGCTTCGTGCTTTTCCCATCCTACCCCCAGCAATTTAACAAAGAGGAAACTGAAGCTGAGAGGAATTTTCCCAACACACATGGCTACCTAATGGCAGAGACTGGAGCAGACAGAATTCAACGTATCTGACTTCCAACCCAGTGTTCTGCTCACAAGAGCAAGCTTCCAATTCTATTATAATAAAGGAATGATTATATGCACATCTTGCTAAGACAAAAGAAAAAAAAGCTCTGAAAATGTTTCAGATATTATTTAGTGGGCTCTCAATAAATAAACTTTTAACCAATGTGAAGAAAATCATGAGGACATTATTCTAAAAACTGAATAAGCATTACCAGCTTTTCTGAATTTGAGGGACATTAAAAATTTCTGTGATTGCTTCTAAGTCACTTTTTTAAAAAAGTTTCTGAAACAAAGCAAGCAAGCAAATCAACAAACGGAAGAACTGATGATTTATCTGCCACCAAATGCAGGAATTCTTTCTAGAACATTCTGACAACTGACCAACCAGCTGTTTGAATGTTTTCAGGGATACAGAGCTTTAACAAAGGAGTGTAGGCCATCTCCATTATCACACAGCTTAGCATTCCAAATGAAACCAGACCAGCTTCACTTAGAGTTCTACCCATTAGAACCAGTTCTGCCCTCCAGAACTATACTAAATTAGTCTAGTATCTTTCTATATTTCATGTTCAGCTCTTCAAATATTTAAAGCTAGTGATCAGTCTAGAAGTCCCCTTTTCTTCTTGGTAAATATAGCTAGAATATTAAAAAGTACTTGGAAATAGCACATATAAATCATATTCAGCTCCATTAAGCTTAAAAAAAAGGTTTATCCAGTTCCAAGTATTGTGCTAGGTTTTGGGACTACAAAGAGAAATAAGACATAATCCTTGCCGTGGAGGAGCTGACAATATAGTGGGGAAGTAAAAGCATATACAGAGATAACTTCAACCTAATAACAGCAAGTGCTAAAATAGAGTCATGTCCAATAGCAGTTGCACACCAGATTAGGGAACAAGGAAGAGATCAGGGTGAAGGATACAGAGAATACAACAGCAGGCATTTTGCCAGTCACAAATTTAGATCCAAAGTCCTGGGTTGAAAACTCTACATAAAATAAACAATAGTTAAGCCTAATCCAAACAAAATGTGCTTGATGGTTCTTACTAATCATATAGAGAGGAAAATAAGGGATTGAAAATACCAAAACATACTTTCACATTAGCGACATTACAAGTGCACATTTAAGCAATACATATTTGCTAAAATAAAGTATTCCAAAGTAGATCTTAAAATCAATGATATTATATAGATTCATTAGGTAAGAGACTGGTTACTAACTGCTAATGTGAAGAGTGAAGTGTGTGTTAACAAGGAAATTATTTGGTACAACATCCAAGAAAGTATTCTTCTACTTCAATAATATATTTTTTTGCCCTGAAAATTCAAAGAATTAAAACATGAATGTTCAGGATTTCCAAAACAATGGCAAATACAATTTATTGTTGGAATATTTATTTTTTCCTTGACCAAGAAACTCATTAAAGATGGAATTTTGTTGAACAATACTTAAAGTGAAATAGCTCAGATCTCGAGTATCAGTTAAACTTTATTAAAGCTGTCATCTTTAAATTATTTTGAACTGTCACAGATAAGAAATAAGATTAAAATTTCCTCTGACCATACCTTCTTGAATAAGATCCAAAGTGCATATCAACCTTCTCTGTGTATTTAACCTTAAAGTAAAAGTATTTATTTAGCACTCCAGTCAATGGTAAAAGAAAATTAAGATATTGTTCAGCATTTGTAACTTCTTTACAACATATACAGACATGATTCCCATAGTATTCTGGATTTAAATGTTTAATACATTTAGTCAATAACTATCAATAATTAAAAGTAATTTTTGTTTCTACATAGTTCTTGATATCAGGATCATTTTTTTTTTTTAATTTAATTTAATTTTTTGGTACGCAGGCCTCTCACTGTTGTGGCCTCTCCCGTTGCAGAGCACGGGCGGCTCCGGATGCGCAGGCTCAGTGGCCATGGCTCACAGGCCCAGCCGCTCCGCGGCATGTGGGATCTTCCCGGACTGGGGCACGAACCCGTGTCCTCTGCATCGGCAGGCGGACTCTCAACCACTGCGCCACCAGGGAAGCCCCTCAGGATCATTTTTTAATGGGAACAAGATGCAAGATAAATGTGAGAATACTTTTCATTTGTCTCAAGTTTGTTTATTCTTTTTTTATAAATTTATTTATTTTATTTATTTTTGGCTGCATTGGGTCTTCGTTGCTGTGCACGGGCTTTCTCTAGTTGTGGCGAGTGGGGGCTACTCTTTGTTGTAGGGTGCAGGCTTCTCATTGCCGTGGCTTCTCTTGTTGTGGAGCACAGGCTCTAGGCACTCGGGCTTCAGTAGTTGTGGTGCATGGGCTTAGTTGCTCCGCAGCATGTGGGATCTTCCCAGACCAGGGCTTGAACCCGTGTTCTCTGCATTGGCAGGCGGATTCTTAACCACTGTGCCACCAGGGAAGCCCAAGTTTGTTTATTTTTTAAACCACGTGGTCATTTTCAATTTCTTGGTTACAAAAGAAGATTGCCTTTCCACACCTGACACAGCCATGGAATACCACTCCCTCTAAAGCAGTACATGCCACTGGGGGTGATCAGGACAAAAGTAGAGGAGAAATACTTCAGAATCACCTGGAGAGTTTTCCCAAGTGGCACCTCACCACTATTACAGCTACAGAAAGCCCATGCTTTAGAGGTGTGCTGCAGACCTAATAACAAGATTGAAATCAAAGGTTTAGCTGCAACTGAATTTAGAAACTATTGTCCTACAAGAGCTGCTAAAAAGGATTTTAAAAAAAAAAAGAGTAATGAGGACAACACACAGGGCTTCTGAGACACCTATGTCTACAGAGGTTCAGGTTCCCAGCTAGACCTGTAGTAAGGCAAGAAACCAAAGGAGGAAATCATTTCCATCACATTTATGCATAAGCAGTGCACTTTCAATTGCTTACCTCCAGTATTCTGAATTATTATGGTGCCTGCTACCACCACCTAAAAAACAACAAATGTATTCAGAAGATGAAAGGGGAAATAATACAAAAGGATCAGTATTTTATTAAAATCCAATAACTATGACTTAAAAACAGATGCAGAAATTGAGTGAAGAGAAACTGAAAAGAATACACTTTGCCAGCCATTTGTAATATATAAAACTAACAATCATCACATTAAAAGCCTTTCTTTAATAGTTCCATGGTTACTATAAAAAACACTTTTGTAAGTTTTCTTGGCAGTCATTTTTAAATAGTTAAAAGTGTTAAAACGCTAGTAATCAATGGTTATCAAAGTACCAAAAAACTGAAATTGAATCTATCTGCTCTCATTCTCCCTTTTTTACTGGTTTTATCACTTTGCTCTGTTAGGCGGACTGAGACAGTTTCAGGTGTGTTGTGTCAATGCTGTACTGCATAGAAGGGAATAATATAGTCTGCAGAGTGTATCAGCTTGGCATACACCAAGCCTTGAACATCCCTGTCGCAGGGATTAATAAAGTCTAGAGCAGAAAACTCTATAGAGCCCACATGTTCTCACATCTGAAAATTGAAGCAAAATGTTTCAAACTCAATAATATGAAGTGGACTGAGTGCAAGACAACAGGAGGTGGTAAAGAGTGTAATATATTGGAGAAGTCCTCTCGTTTCAAAATGGGGCAGCTGCTGCACAGCTCTGGCCAGTTGCTGACATGTGAGAATGTGAATCCAGTGTAGCTCAATCTTCTGCTTTTTCAAGAAAAGTCAGAAATTGAATTCTTTTAAAATGTCATAACTCTTTGTTGGCAATCAGCTAAAAATAAAAAAGATTTGAGCCAAACAAAATATGCCTGAGGGCTATGTTCAGCCTGCAGGCTTGCTAACTTGTGATCTTTGATGACATTCCTGGGAAACTCAAGATAGCACTTTATCCATTCTTGGTCATCAGATGTACTCAGGAGAAATGATTAAACATTCTGCTTCCACTTGGGCCTTTCAGTCACTTATATCTTGGTGGACCTGTACCTCCAATGTATGTTTCGAGCTGACTAGCTATCTAAGATCATTACTACATGGACTGGGAAGAGATGACCCTTCCTCTCCTAGAAGTCCCATCAGTGACACAGCATTTGCCTATCCTGGGAATAAACTAAGTTACTGAGACCTAGAAGCCTTGGGGTCTGGAAAGCAGGGATAATGATAGAAACACTTGGCAAGGTGTCTTTGAATGTGGTAACTGCCACTCTAACATTTTCCAGAAAAATCTCTACATATCAACCCATTTAAAAATTAGTTCCAAAGTGTCACTCACAGTTATTTGTGAAAAGACTTTTTTGAAATTTTTGTATACTGTCTTTCATATGCAATTGATACCTATTGTTAATCACACATGAAATTTGGATTTTTCTAAGAATATACTGCAAAAAGCAATAATATCAGCTTAGTGATGACTATCTTCCCATTTTTTGTCTGAATTTAAGCATTTTCGATCTAGAAAGTCAGTATATCTTTCTATCAATCTATCGATATTTCCAGCGCCTAGCACAGTGCATGGCACATGGTATTTGCTCAATAAATATTTGTTTGACAAGTACATAAATCCATTTATAAACAATTAATAATTTTCCTTAAAAAGTTCAAAGCATTTCAAAAATATTTAATTTTCAGAACAATGTTACCCTATCATATGTCACATCCATATTCATATAATATCTGGAAAGAAGGAAATAGGAAAGTTTCAACCCAACTGTGGAAGTTGAGAGAAAATATTAAACAAACAAACAACTCCTCATTTAGAGTATTCTCTGTCTGTGTATCTGCCTACTAAGAACTGTGTGCATACATTAAAATGATAATGCAACTATTGTAGAGTTTTAGGAGAAGGGGACTCTCAATAATCCATGTTCTTCTTGTAGAGTCTGCTGCTATCCAAGGAATGCAGGAAACACCAATGTGAAATAACAGTGATGATGCTTAGTCATGTTTACAGATTATATTAAATTAATTGGAGAGTTTTCTTATATAAATAACATTTTCTTCTTCCTTGATTAAACTGGATACAGTTAATTGATCATGATTATGCCAAACATCCTGATCTCCAAGAAAGAGAAATTGTTTAGATGATTAACAAAAACCTTTACCCTCAAAAGTAACATAGTCTCCATTTAGTTCAAGTTTCAGGCTATTAAAATAAGCTCCAGGGCTTCCCTGGTGGCGCAGTGGTTGAGAGAGTCCGCCTGCCATTGCAGGGGACACGGGTTCGTGCCCCGGTCTGGGAAGATCCCACGTGCCATGGAGCGGCTGGGCCCGTGAGCCATGGCCGCTGAGCCTGTGCGTCCGGAGCCTGTGCTCCGCAACGGGAGAGGCCCATAGCAGTGAGAGGCCCGCAAAAAAAAAAAAGATAAGCTCCAAACCATGAGGTTACATAGTATGATTTAAATATTCTCCTTTGTGCTTTAAAACCAAAGTTAATTTGAATGTAAATACACATTCCCCCCACCATTACATAGCTATACCTTTTTCCTCCCATACTCACTTCTTAGAAGTTAGTTCGGCTATCTACAAATACAGCATCGTTTTATATTAAAAACAAAACAAACAAAAAATACAAACAACAGATTTACAAAGAAAAAGAAAAAGTCCTGTTTGGAGCCAACACGTAAATGGGTTTTAGAAGTATGATAGCTCTTCAGAAATAAAAAATTATTAAAGCGCTAACAATAGTATTTAACTACTGATTACCTGTGGAAGAAGATAGTATTTCCTCTACCCATTAAATTAGTTTAGTATGCCTATCACAGATGAATGCCCAATAAATACTGTTGTTATTTCTCTTATTCTAAGGAGGAAAAGTAGTCGATTTTGAGTCTGGAGTCCTATGGAATACTGGCCTAAGTAATTGTCGACAAATAGGCCCCTTCCCTTCTCTGGGCCTTAATTTCCTAACCTATAAATGAGGGGACATCTAGATCATCTTTTAGCACTGTTCAGCTCTTAAATGATATGATCTTCTAATTATCAGTTTTTTAAAACATGCTATAAGTTTGATTCTATGCTTCTGTCTTGTCCTGTCTTCATGAGAATTTACTCAGATAATATAATCAAAATTAATAAGAAAAACTTAAAGCAGGCCATCGTTACTGATTTAAAATTATACAAGTCATTGTTCTCCTTCATTAGGGTAAAAAACACTAAAAAAATTTAAGTGTTGAATTAAATTTATCAATGCATTTTTAGGAAGGGCACAGAGATTTCTTCTCTCTCTTCCTGTACCCATCATTCTCTTTCTTCACTTTAGTTTCCTTTTATTCCCTTAATTTCTTTCTCTTATATATACTTGTCTTTTCTAACTGGAAATGGAAGGAAAAATTCCTTTCAGGATTTTGGACACAGCAAGGAGAAAAAAATAATTACCTTTCCAGGTAATCCAAATGCAAAGAGTCCAAGATCTTCATAAGATGTCACAGCTGTTAAGAGAAATTATAACTGTTATTTTTACACAAAACTATTTGTGTGCCAAGTCTTACACAGAAGAAAGCTATTCCACTACTACCTGATAGCTATTGGATTGCCACACTAAATATAAGCAGAAGTAATGACTTTGGGGGAAACCTGAAAACTTACGATCCACAAAGACAGCGTCCTCTTAGAATAAGTAGAGCTTAGCAATTACCAAGGTTGTCTAACAACTACCCAGGCTGCATAAATTCAAATAGAATAATTACTCAAGAACAACCCACTTCTCACTAAACAGTACTTGCAGACTACACTGTCCAAATGTAAATTTTCATTGGCAACAGTTTCTGAAAACTGCTGTGTAAATAAAACTTGATAAAGTACAAAAGTTGTGTCATACTTTCAGAGACATTCACTTTTCCAGGCTACCTAGGATATGATAATGTATTCATTATAGAAACAATACCCTCATCCTGCAATAAGGGTATATATTTTCTTTTTCATCATAAAGAGTATGAAATTACATTTTCATTCCACATGTTCAAGAAGTGTGATCACAGAAAAGATGAAAATTAAATGGCTCATAAAAGAACCAAATGTGTCCTTAGATGATAAAGCTTCATGTTATAACTGGTGATGTCACAGGTAAAAATAAGAGAAGTAAAAACATTTATATAATCCTAAATTTGAAAAGTCCTTTACAGTGCTTACACAGAAAAAAAAAAAAAAAGCAGGTTAGCAGATACTAAGGCTTGCTAATAGCAACACACATTTCCTATTGAGTCAAAGATATGTCTCATCATTTCTTAAAGAAAGTTTTTAATATATACTCTCAAGATATACATAGGTTTCTTCACCACTACATTAACAAAAAGCTCCCTTATACTTTCATAAACAAAGTCTACCACGTATGAAAAAATAAGCATTTTGAAAACCACATATGGTCTGTATATGTTATAACTATTACAAAGTCAGAAAGAAAACAGTGAAATGCTAAAAAAGTAAGTTTTACTTAAAACAAAAATTTTTAACATTTTAAACTTTTTTAAACTTTAATTTATTATCAGAATAGATAGAAGAATTTCAAAACTTTTTGGATGACACAGCTATTTTTTATTTTACTTTTCTATTTTATTATTTTATTTTTTTGGCCGCATTGTGTGGCACGTGGGATCTTAGCTCTGAGACCAGGGATTGAACCTGTGCCCCTTGCAGTGGGCGCGTGGAGTCTTAACGACTGGACCACCAAGGAAGTCCCAACACGGCTATTTTTTAAAATGTATTTACATACTGCTCAACAGTGGGCAAGGACAATTTAATTTTGAATTTGGAACATATAATTTGATTATAACTAGGAACCTTTATGCTTTAACAATGAAAGACTTCAATAATAATCTTAGAGAGGTAGACTGTAGATATATTTTAGAACATAAAATTAAAAAGCAGAGTTAAAAAACTAAGAACTGGATTTTTTTCCTCCTATGTGAAATGCTGAAATTCTTTTTTTCAAATACACATGTTCTAAAGTGAATGTCAACAAAAAAATTAATAATTATTTCAACCAATAAATCTTTACTAGTTTGTTTTCATATTCCTAAATATAATTAAGAGATAATGCTATATAGGGGCACAATTTCTTATATTTAACTTTCCAAAGCCTTGGTATATATATTAAACCAGAAATTCTCTAAATGTTAGCTTCTATCTAATTTGACATTAAGAAGGTAATTTTGTTACATATTATGTGTATGTGAACCAAGTCTCCAGAAGGTCTCTGATCTGTCACTATGAGGCATGAGATTAAAGGAACATCATTGTTCATTTTCAGCATCCCTCTTTCATATTACAGTTGAAAGTGTTTGCTCTTTAAAAAAAACTTTCCTTCCAAGGACTTAAAGCAAGGAGGCTTTTCAGTGTTACATATGGAAATACACCACATAACTTGCTTTTAAAATGATCTATTTTGGGGACTTCCCTGGTGGTCCAGCGGGTAAGACTCCACGCTCCCAATGCAGGGGGCCTGGTTTCGATCCCTGGTCAGGGAACTAGATCCCACATGCATGCCGCAACTAAGATTCCACATGCTGCAACTAAAAGATCCCACATGCCGCAATGAAGATCCCCTGTGCTGCAACTAAAACCCAGCACGGCCAAAATAAATAAATTTTTAAAAAATTTTTACAAAAATTAAATGATCTATTTTGCATTAGATTCTTAGTCAGGGAGCAAGTTATCAAGATAATACTCTTTAAAAAGTTTGACTAGGATTTGTTTTATTTCTAAATAGCAGAAAACAAGTATAGATTGTATATTAGTAAACATAAAAAGCAAATAACTTTCCGATAAGCAAAAATAATATTGAAATATTCCAAAAAGAATTGGTATTTCAATTATCTAAATTTAAATAAATTAAACATTTATTCTTAATTTTTAAATTAGAACATAACATTTATTACTCCAGAAAATATAATCAAACTAACAGCTTAATGAAGATAGTTGTAATTGCAACTTCTGACAATAGTGGCATACATTTTAGCAATCTCACATTTGTTCTCTATTATTTTCTAGTGTTATAAAAATATCTTTAAATACAGCAAAGTCCCAAATTCAGAGTGAACAAAGTTTAGACTTTTAAATGGAGACTTACTACTATGTTCAAATCCTAACTCTACCTTTAAGTCAGCAGGTCTGGCTAGTCATTCAGTTCTGTCACTGTCATCTTACTTCTTTTATGTTGCAAAAATTATAAGTACTTTTCCATGTCTGAGACATCATTAGTATGAACAACAGCTTCTGGCTTAACTTCGAGGCTTTGCTAAGATAAAATATGTACACAGTCAGTCAAATGCTTTATCTCCACATATTTACTTTTTAATGGTTTTCTGGATCATCTTGACATACAAACCAAAACAGCACTAGTGAAATACTTTGAAAATTCTATTCTACCATTTGGACAATTAAGATGCTGGTAACAGTGTAAATTGGAACTGACTTTGGAATGTAATTTGACCAATGAACCTTGAAAATATTTATAATATTTGACTCCTGGGAGCTTGCATCTTAGGAAATAAGACTAACATCAGAGAAATCATTATATGCAGATATTCATTGTGTATTATTTACATTGAAAAAAAAGACTACCAAAATGCTCAATAATGGTAAAGTGGTTAAGTAAATTATGGTAGGTATATCTAGTAGAATAATATGTAGCCATTAAAAACTATGTTTATAATAACATGAAAAATGCCAATATTAAGTGAAAAATAGGATTTGATTGAATATGATCTATAAAGCAAAACACTTTCATATGATCAATGTTTTAGTATCTTATTTATAATGTAAAAGATGTTTTGAGAGATATCAAAATGAGACGTGGGGATGACCAGTCACATTAATAGCAAATTCTTACAGAAGAGGAATAACATTAATTATGAAAATTATGGATTTAATTCGGCCTTTTACAGGAATTCATACAAGTAGTACTTGGCACAATCCTTAAATAAATAACTGAAAGCAGTCATTAGCAATCTATTTTAGGAAATTATTTTTTTGATATGAAGAAGTCAATGCTATGGTTTTGAGGGGATGGAAAGGCTGTAAATCTTAATCAAGTAAATTGGGGAAAAATTTCTTCTTTAATGTACCGCCAAGGCACACTTTAGTGCTATTTTGGCTAGACCAAGAGTTTGGCCTCCACAGGAATCGTTTGGAAAGCTGCTTCCCATGAAGTAGTGGAATATTTCCAGCTAGTTACTCCAGTGCTCCGTCTGCTTTGCATTTTTTCCTCAATGAAATAGGACAATTAATAAACTCTGGTTACGGTACAAAGCCCAAGTTTCAGCAGCAGCAATATTATCTTTGGAACTGGATTGAGGGACATGAGTTACTCAAATACAGTTCAACTCTCAGAAAGCAGGCCATTTGGAATGCACCCTTATTTTGAAATTCTTTTCTTTCTCATGTTTTCCTTCATTTTCCTCTTGTCTTTTTTCTCCATAAGAGTGTCATGCAAGCCATTCATTTATTGAACGTCTACTATGCAATTGTATCACCACTTCTGGTCTTTCTTAATATGTATGTAAATGTCAGTTTACCAACTAAATGTGGCATGATTTTAGAGCACCTGATGTAGTAAAAGAAAATAGAATGCTAGAGTAGAAGGAACATTCTCCTTTCAATTTCACAATGAGATACTGCAGGCAGAAAAAAGTTCTAGGATCCCAACATACTGCTTGGTTCTGCAGTGAACAAGATTTACAGTCATTCATATCCTATAAATGCTATTCACTGGTTTTCAACTTTAGACTCAACTTATACATAAAAAATGAATGACTTACATATGATTACAAAACAAAGTAAATACTGTCAACCTTGACAATATAAGGGTACAGCAGAAGGACTATGGGAAATAGAAAGAGAACAGGGGAAAGCAAGGATAGGAGCACTAATACATACAACATAGCAGAGTCAAGACACACCATCTAAAGTCCATGAAACAAAAATAAAACTTTAAACATATCGTTTATACTGAGCCTGTGCTCTAGAGCCCACGAGCCAACTACTGAGGCCCACGCGCCTAGAGCCCGTGCTCCGCAACAAGAGAAGCCACAGCAATGAGAAGTCCACGCACCACAACGAAGTGTAGCCCCCACTCGCCTCAACTAGAGAAAGGCCGCACGCAGCAACGAAGACCCAACACAGCCAAAAATAAATAAATAAATAGATAAATTTTAATAAATAAATGTATTGTTTACAGTTACAAATAATCAGTGAAAGAATTATTGAATACAAACTAATGCAAATTAGAAGGGGAAGGATTAGTGCACCTGAGCTAAATCTTCACCTTTCATAATGAGGTGTCAACAGATAAAATTTAAATCAATAAATAACGGTAGAAGAATATTATTTAGACTTAGGAAGGTAACTCCCCAAAAGAATTCAAAACGAAAACTCTAAATGTTGCTAACCCTGTGAAATGGAACTAGATGTGGGGAAGAATGAGTGGGGAAGT